GAGCCAGGCCCTGAGATGAGCATGGCCCAGACGATGCCCCCACCGCAGCCTGGGAGACTCAGCCAACAGACCTGGCTGAGCCATGACCGGATGCCTGACCCACAGAAACTGCGATAATAAGCGTTGTTGCTTTACGTCACTGAGTTTTGGGGTGATTTATTACACAGCAATAGATAACGAATACAGCTATTTATGAGAATTATCCACGAGGCTGTAAAATGCAGGCACCACTACACCACCAACGAGAATGTCTAAAATTGAAAAGGCTGACGACACCAGTGCTGGCAAGAGCTGAAACACCCAGATGCTCATCCGTGGCTGGTGGAAGGGAAAATGGCAAACCACTTTGGAAGGCTGGAAGTTTCTTAAAAGTTGAACATATACCTACCCTAGGACTGAGCAGTTTCACGCCTACGTATTTATCCAAGAGAAACGAAAACATGAATCCACAAAAAGACCCACCCATGGCTACCGACGGCCATGTTATTCATACGGGCCAAACGCTGAAAGCAGCCCTGGTGTCTGTCCTCTGCAGAATGGACAGGTAAACTGTGGCACATGCTTCCAGTGGAATAGTCCTCAATAATGGCAAGGAATGGATTTCAGGTGCACGAAACAACAGGGAAGAACCACAGAAGTATGCCGAGCGAAAGAAGGCAGATGTGTAAGAATATGTCCTGCACGGCTCCACTGACATGAGCAGTTCTCAACCGGGGTAATTGTGCCACTCAGGGTACATCTGCAATGACTAGAGACATTTTTATTGTCACCACTTGGGGTGATGGTGCTGCTACTGACTACTGTCACCATGGGGGGTTGGGAGCTGGTAGTGGAGGCCAGGAATGCTGCCAGACGTCCTATGAAGCACGGGTCAGTCCCCTGTGCGAGGCAGTTTGGGCCGCTGTATCCAATTACCATCACCTGAGAGGCTGAAACAACAAACACTTATTTCTCACAGTTCTGGAGGCTGGAAGTCCAAGATCAAGGAGCTGGCACCTCTGGTGTCCGATGAGGGCCCACTTCCTGCTTCTGTTCTCTCATTGTATCCATTGTGGGGAGCAGAGAGAATCTCCCTCGCATCTCTTCTTATAAAGGCGCTAATCGCATTCATGAAGGCTCCACCCTTATGACCTAATCACCTCCCAAAAGTCTCACCTCCTAAGACCATCACATGGAGGGTGAGGATTTCAACACATGGATCTGGGGTGGGGGACACAAACAATCAGTCCATAACACCCCTACAATAAAGCTTTATCAACCCAAAATGTCAATAGTGCTAAAGGTGAGAAACCCTGATTTATATGAAGTTCTAGAACAGGTGAAACTCATGAATGGTGACAACCATCAGAACAGTGGTTCCTACTGACTGGTAACCACTGGGAAGAGACATGGGAGGGGTGGGGTTACAGCCTGGGGCATAAATATTTGCCAAAATTGATCAAACTGTAAACGTTAGATGTGTATGTTTCATTGTATGCAAACTATACTGCAATAAAAATTTAGATAGATAAAGACACACACACACACACACACACACACACACACACACCCCTCTGGGCAACCTGCTGAATTAGGCTTTCTGGGATGAGTCTAAGAATCCGAATGTTCAGCAAGTTTCCCAAGTGACTCCTGTATACAGACAGCCCAGAACCTGTCTGTGGATCTGCATTTTGGATTCACTGGTGTCTGGACCAACGTTTCTAGAACTTTCTTTCCAAATAGCTCCAGAAGCACAGGAAGGTAAAGTGTAGTCTAGAAACAGGAAGTTGTCCAGAGCAATTAGGAATCTTTCTTGAAATCTCCAGTTCTATCTCAGAAATTCATGTTACTTTTTGTATTTGATTCCATATGACTGTTTAAATATTAAAATGTTTTAAATTACCACCGGAAAGGGAAAATTTCCCTTGTTTATTTTGTGACTTCCAGGTCTGGTACCACACTTCCTGAACTCCCTCTCAAATGCACACACACAGCCACGCTCTCCTCTAGCGGAGAAGCAGGGTTCTCACCAATGTCTAGACAGAAGGCATTAAGTTGATTAGGTCAAACTAGAAGTGGCTGAGAGAGATAATCGTTTTGCCTCCAGGGAAGGAACAACTCCTAGAGGCTGAGTTTTGTGAGTGGGAACAGCCTCGCTATCCTTGGAAGATAGCTTAGAAGCTTATCAAAGTTTTCCTTCCAACCATATAGAAAGTTCTCCTGCAGAGAATTTGGGGTGCAGCCATAGAAGCTCTTAACCAATCCAAAGGCTCGATCTCCTTCACCCATTCCTTCTGTAGAGGAAGACACCCAACCGGTTGTGTCCTCGCAGACATCCACAACTGGTTGAAATGTCATGGCTAGCAGGCCACTTACAGCCTTGTATTAGGGAAGGTCAACTGCTGAACTTTAGCAGGGGAGCAGGGCTGGGTGGGGGGTGGTGAACACAGTAAAAGTCGATTTCTCACAGTCTGAAAAAGGTCGGGTGGTTCTTCTTCAAACTCAGGGTCCCAGCCTCTTCCATCTCGTGGTTCTGCCCACCTGCACCCTCCATTGTGTAATAAGAGCTCCTTGGATCCTCAGAACAATCCCATTTTACAGATGAGGACACTGAGGCTGTGGAGAAGTTCAGTCCCGTACCCCTAGTCATGCCGCAAGGGGACGGTAGAGGCTCCATTCCAACGCAGGCTGACCACCCAGAGTCCCACGGGGAGCCTCTTCCAGCCCCGTCATCCACCTCTTCCCATTTCCAGTGAGCCTTGACCACTGGTCCATGTTTTTGTGCCCATGTTAAGTGGCAGGTGCCTGGGCCTCTGCCTGGCCCCACCACCCCCTCCTCTGCCTCTGCTCACCCTTTCATCAGGGGAACAGAACAGTCCGCGCGGGTTTCCATACTCTGTGCATCAGCTTCGCCTGGATAACGTAAACTCAGATTCCCAGGCCCCCAGCGGTGGAGCCTGGGGAAGCTCCCCAGGGTGACTGTGGCGTGGGTGGTCTCTTCACCTCACTTGGGAACACCCTGGTTTGGGGGAGGTCCAGATGTCCAGGTGGGACAGATGTCCCTCTCCTAGGGAGC